CCAGCCGCAACCCTAGACGCCCACCCCCGACCATACTGAGGCTTTTGGTGGCTATATATATATGTGATGCCTAGATATGTATCTCACCAGCGCTTCAATTGCCCCACGGGTATTAAAAAGGTCAGACAGGTTGTTTTTCTCATAATAGGCTCATTTTGACCACTTCCTATTCCTTACTTTTTATTTCCCGTACTTTTATTGTACCCGGATTGTCATAGACCAAAAAGATTCAGCTAGCCGTGGCTTCCGATCCATTTAACCAGTCGTCCATCTACGGATCTACAAATAATCACACCGATGGAATTTCGTCGGGAAAACGTCGAAAGGGCGGTAAACGCAAACCGGATTTGGAAGACAGCTATCCGGACTATCTGATGGAAGCTTTTTACGGCGCCAGTTTGTTCGCGGCGAAAAAGAGACAGTACAATCGCAAAAGACTAGCCCTGGATCGAAAGCATAGATCAGTCGATTCCATCGGATCCGCGTCTGGCCAGTCACAATTACGCCCTTCTAAACAGGCCTCCGGGGCTCGAGGTTCTCATTTGTCGAAGGTAGGTTTATAAGCCGCACTGCACCCGCTGCAATAGAGTAGTCACTTCACGGAGTCGTCCCGCAAGTTTCTGTTTTGTTTTTGATTCTACTTGTTTCTCTACCGGGTGGCGGTGGCGGATTAGAGGTTGAGTCGCTGTCTTCGGCATGCTTTGGACCCTACGGTTCGAGGTTCCAGCCCCGCCAACGCTACCCAGCTTTGGTGGTAGGCAGCTTTGTTGTTGTCTTGTTCTGTACCATGCCCAACCTAATGTAGCCTTATTTGGTTTACCACTCCAAGTCCTGGGACTTGGGTTACGACTTTTCATCACAGAACAGCAGGTCTGCATGCTTGTGGGGCCCATCCCATCTATTGTTCATCCCAGAAATGTGTAATAAAAGAAACCGTATTGTGTTCCTCAGTAATTGAACTAATTAACTGGTGCCATGATAGAATACCGCTGTAGACCTAATGAGTCCCACTTTTTGTCTTTCTCTTTGCTTATAATAATGATAAGTGCTAGTTGACTCCAGTTCTAATCCCGACAGGTCCGAGGGCAGAAATTAATGTACTTACGTTTTCACTAGCATGCATTAGTTACGTATAAACGTGTTTTTTAGCGGATAAACTTTGATGAACAAACACTCATTGATGGCATTATTCTTTCATGTGAGGATTGTCTGTTTACAGGTGAATAAAACGATGTGCATTGATAATTTCCGCCGGCTCATCATGCACATCTTGGTTGGTTCGATCGTTCTGTATGCTGTCAGATGATAACTCCACTGTCACCTGATTCAATATCATAATATATCTGTTTAGGGACTCATGTTATTCTGCCATTACTTCAATATCTGGCTATCGCAATCCCACCGGTTGGCTACCTTGCGCTGTAGGAAAAAAATACCATTGAAGTGACCTCATTCAAGATACTGTATAAGCTACTTTTTATTCTGAGTTAATTACAGAAAGGAGATCAGCGAGCCTAACAAGAAAACCAGGAACGAAATGATGTAACATTTACATTGTTTACTGGTTTAGTGATTTTCAAATGAGGTCAGTTTCGACATGTAAGTGGATGATCAGTTTTGTCAGTTACCAGTGCCTACATAACATGAAGTTGATGTTTACTCTGTGCATTCATCAACCCGTCAGCTTTCATTGTTTTCAACCGAAATTGCGATTTACGAATTTGATTTACCGTAAATAGTGAAACTAAATAAATTCCATCACTTTACGCTTGCTGATGTACATTCGTGTAAGTATTCGGTACTTATGCTGGTATCGCGTCCCTCATGTTTTACCGGAACGTATTACTAATTCGTGCTGCAATCTTGTTGCACTCTGTGTATTTCAGCTGTAACCCACAGTTGCTAGTCAATTTTTCTCTATTCAATTTCACTTCATGATTCATTGGAACTGACCATTCTTCAGACTTCACTTTCACGCACGATCCTCAGCTCCTACACACCTTCCCTGCGATCGGTTTGGAGTTTAACTTCCGGACTTAGCGGTGTATGTGCACTACTGATGAGCTCTTATAAGAGCGAAACTCAAGTCTAGTGCTTCCGAGTGTATGGTTGATTGTGAAGGCTAAGGATTTTGCGTGAGGGTGAAGTCTGAAGGATGGTCAGTTCCACCCAATCAATTATCCCACACCGCTACGAGTATTGGAGTTGAATGTGAATTATAATAATAATAATTATTTAATCACTTTTGGCTTATTGCCCTGACGTCGATGAATCCGTATACTATTTGAATATCTTCGTGTCCTTCCCATGTCACTTTGCCAGGGTCATCCATTTAGTGGTCGTGGTGTGCCCGTTGCACGTGGTGCTCGTTCCACAGATACTCGGACTTCTCACGATTCAGATCAAGCTGAATGGATGGAGCGTATGTCTGATGGACATGACGTGCATGGAGAAGAAGAATATGATATGGAAGGTGGAGATGAGTTTGAAGAGGTGGATGATATAGGGGAGGTTGGAGAAGTCGAAGAAGATGAGGATTTCGATGAACTTCGTGACCTAGATGACGAACTAGCCGAACCATTGGATGTAGTCGGTGATCATAATGAGGATGACGAACAAGAAAGTTTACGTACCGGTGATGGCACATCATTGGCTGAATCATCCTCAGAAATCAATCTGAACGGAGCCGGTTTGGTTCAGAACGTCATGATGATTGGACAGAAACAATCACATACATTGTCCCGTACGAGTTCTTTGAATGAAATTCCGAGCGACACGTTGTTATTCCAGGATACGCATTCCTCTTCCATGCTAAGTACGAAACCTGTCCACCGCGCGTCGGGGACACCTACCCCAACTGCTGTAGGTTATCCGGATCAGTTACAATCCGCTCAGTCTCGACCTATGTCATCCCAGTCGTCGATTCCGATCCAAATTGGTTTGACCACTGAACATTTCGCTCCACATAATTCTGAAAATCTGGCTGCTCGCTATGCCCTTTCGAAATCCCAATTCCAATCAACCAATGTTAATCAGGAACAAATTATCATTTCATCACCTGTTTCCGCAACTAAATTGTCTGCATCGAATCCGTCTTCTCAAATAGCGAGTCGGCAAACCACGCAGTCTTCCATTGAAGCGGCATCAAGTGAGTGACGCTAGAATTATTTAAATTTCGGATCTATTCCAAATCGCATTATGCCACGTCTTTCGGTCACTCTGAAAATAGGCATATACTTAATGTTGGTATAAATGAACACATCTAAAACCTTGTACTTAATTGATCAAGTTTTGTGAATGTATTTTCAGAATAAGAAACTTTCCAGTAGGATTTTATAGGGAGAGTACAACGCTGGATAATCCAAGTTGTTGGTTACAAAAAACTTACTTTTGTTGTGTTCGAGGCATCTCCCTTTCAGCCAACACACGAAGACCGGCATAATGTGGATCTGAAGGACGCCTTGGATAACAATAATAATGATAACAACAATTATACGAAATAATGTCGCGACCTATGCACTTCAATCAAGACCTCTTTCGAGGTACTAATGCTAAACGTTGGTCTTTCATTTTGCTGTTCTTTTGCTGGTTTGTAATACTGGTACCAGTCTGGTGACCATAATTCATGGTGATCAAGCACTCTAGTGTACTGTCACGATGATATATATAAGTATGCCCCCAAATTCGGCATTGCTTATCCAGTCGTCCCACGATGTTCGTACACCGTGGTGTTCAAACACTTATAGCCTGTCTTGCAACGATCAAGTTTCTGCACCATACAGGTCAAACGGATGGTCATCACAGCAAATATTCGACCCTTTATGAATAATTGAACACCGCGTTTTCACCGTGGTTGTTTCCATTAGCTCCGAAACTCTTGTTCGAAGACGTTATTTTTGTAGTCTTTTTGAGGCTATGAACTGAAACCTAGTTCGGTTGGTTCACATACCTGATGCAGTAGCTCACAGATGGTTTGAGGACCGAATTTTAAAATACCCAGCATTGGCCTAGAGGAACCCTTGCGCTGCCAACGTAATGTTTAGTGTTCCTATGGAGAAAGTATTTGTTTGTTTCACCTAACCTTAGTAGGCGATAAACGTTCTTCTTTTATTAGCTGTCAGTGTTTGCTAACGCGTGACGATAATGATCACTATGTGTGGTTGATTTCTCACTTGAGTGCGCTATGTTTCTGGATTCTGAATTAGTATTATCTTTGATTCTGACACCGAAAGTCCCAGTTTATCAGCAGTAAGATGAAGTGATATGTGCCCCTAGTATTCATTAGTCTCACCGAGATCAGATTGGTTATCTGCATGCGAACTTATTTGCTGCTACTTTTTTTTAAATGCTATCAATCCGTTAACTGCATTTGAATAAATCTAACCTAAGGTATTTATTGATTCGCAAGGTTGTTTTCGGTGCAATACTGTGTAGATTTAAGTACTTCCTACCCCCTACCTGTCTGAGCGGTTTGTTTGGAAGCCGTTAATCTCCAGGCAAGGCGCCATTTGGGGTTCATGTGGTGTTTATCAATCTTAATGTCAGTTTTTAATTTCATTTCTCTAGTAAGCATAGGCGTTGCTATCGGAACCTGATGACTCCATCTGTTCCATATGCACTTTTTCCATTGCCTCATTTTTCCCTTTCACTTTAAAATAGGTTTGGATGAGGTCACGGATTTGATGTTCATGGAGGACTATTTGTTGGATATCGCGTTAGAGCCGACAGATGACAATGAAACGAGCGAAAGTACCGGGATTCCAAACAACACAACAACAGCTTTTACGGAACAACGCGTTATTTCTCAGACAAACGATAGTGTGACTTCGGCTGTACACATGACTCAACATCCGCAGCAACAGCAGGTGCCCTCACAACAGCAACAAATAGCTGCTCAAATTCCAGCCCACCTTCGACAACAACACTTGCAACAACTACCACCAAAAACATCACAAAAATTGGGGATACCACAATCTCCAGGGCAAGCGTTGATCCCCCAGGCGAACAGACAATCATCACAGTTGGTTCGGGTCGCACAACCGACTCCCCATACTGGTGCTCCGGGTGGGAACTCAGATTTAGTGTCACAGGANGTGTCCATGCGGCTTTCTGTCGGGCCTGAGATATCTCATGCGACACAGTCGGAGTTGACTATGTACAGAGATTTGGAGCCACAATCTCGTGTTACATCTCATTTGGATCGACGATCTCATCCAACCCTTGATGCTGCTCATGTTTCAGATGCGGAAAGCCGCTTGACTGAATCGGTTGATCCCGATACTCTTCTGGGTCATCAATTGAGTTCTCCGGAGATCAGACACATGGGTAGTACTAGAGCACCGGATTCTCAGGTACTATCGCTGAACCACAGAACCCAACTGTCCCTTATCCTTTAGATCACTTTCTATCGTGCAATATGTGCGTCGTAATGATACGCGGTAGCCGTATGAGTGTAGTAAGGTGTCATGGAAGGTAACTCTCCAGGTAGCTGTTTGTAGTTAGTTGCATGAATCGAAACAAAAATAAGGTAATGTACATAATCAGGTTAATTCTCCGCGATCCCTATATTGAATCAGTTTGTGGTGGTCTCCACGAATAGTCAATCTTTTTGAATGCACATCTGTGGCAGTATTGATGCGTACGAATAACGGTTCTGTTAAACCTTACGAGAGTCTTTAGTTGTAAGATCACCATGAGAAGCGAGAAACCTATATTCCGATCAAGGGAAACATTTTCACGTTTTTAAAAAATTGATGATAAACTGAAATGCTGTATCCTTTCACACACATGAGTATCAGAATGCTCCAATAAATGGCTCGATACACTTTTCTTGACATTCAATCCTCATGTAGTTCTCTACTTCGTGTTTCAGGGCTCAGGTTGCTGGTCTCCATAGCTGAATAATAGGTTCCTCTTGACTGGTGTTCTCCCGTTCTACTGTTCAATCGCATTTAAGTCCAGCGAAGTGTTTTTTCGCTAGTTGTCAAAACTTTGTCTTTCTCATGTTCCAGCTACTCAGTTACTCACACACGTCTGAATCCAGACTGTGTCAAACCAATTATAACAGTAATCTTTATGAAAAAGACGTTCCATGATCTGTATGTGTGCGGAATTCTGCTAGGTTGCCCAGGCTAAGGCAGGTAAATTTACTTGATTAATCCAAAGCCGGATCCTTCGGCTAGCCAAAGCCTGACCTACAAGGTTCGCTTTATTATATGTACCCCGTGATGTAACTTTCTACTCAGAAGCAAACACAAAAATGAGACATGATTTCATCTTTTATTAGTTTGTCCGTTACACCTAGTATGGACACTAGTTTGGCTCTGAGAAATGTGTGCATCCGAGTAACAAGGTTTATGTTGATCATCGTATTTGATAGTCTTCTTTGGATATGTTTAGGATCCACTGTTTCGCGGGTGTAAAAAGGAGATGGTTTCTTCCAGGTGGAATAATGGTTCCTTTTTTGTTGGTTGATGTGATTCATGTAACCGCTTGCAGTTACCTTTCTGTTTCACACCACCACATAGTAGCTAGTTGTATTGCATTTATCAGCACATCGAAAAACAGCTTATTTTCAAGGTAGCTTTTCCAGATTACTCGCGTTCACTTTTCTTTGTTTCATCACATCGAATTAATTGATTTCTGTTCATCTTCGTTAATCCTACTATTATAATTATGTATTTCACATTCATCCGAGTCCAGACTGTGTGCCAGACAAATATTTCTCATTATAACAAAGAAAAAGGTCCATGATTTGCTAGTAGGTGGAAGAATGTCTGATTACCCATTCCAAACCAAGTGAATTTTATTCGGGAATTCACATCCAATGCTTGACCCGCAAGAAAGTGGGTCCGTATGCGGAAGCCGCTACCTGTTGGAGGCTGTTATCTAGTTCATCGGGGTCGAACGTCAAAGGGGACCATTTGGGCCGATGACCACTATGAAAACAAAGGTGTATGTGGTCCATACGCCTCTTTTTGGCTGGTTTAGAAGTAATGCTTCTACCCAACTGTCCTAGCTGAATTACCAGGAGTTCAGCGACCTGGTTATAGCCCCAGATGTTGGCTTTGCATGCTCTCACTTTGACAGGAACACACTCACCGCATGAAGGCAATAATTAAGGATTTCGCAGGAGAGGCCGTTTGGGACGCGAGAATTTTGCGAGGTGTAAGAGAAGGGTGACCAACCACAGCCGAAGGATGCAATCCCCGATCATACTGAGGCTTTCATAGTCTGATACTTACATTATTCAGTTTGGCTACAATAATCCACATTAGGTTTGATATATCACATCCAGCACNAATCTAAAATAATCATCATTCTTCTCGTCACTGTGAATCTCATTCTCCTACTTGGCTACTTGCTCACTGACTCGGACTTCAGTTCGATCTAGTTTCGATTTATCTCCGGCAATACTGTTTTAGAGATGGCCAGCAAAGCGAGACTAACTTTCCTCACGATCTTGCACCTTTTTTGCTAGTAACTCTGAGTGAAATCTGTCTGTGTTTCAGCGTTGTACAGGGTGAATTGGGGATAGATGCATTAAAATAGTTGATGGTTTCTGCTTTGATTCCTAAACTGTTCTTACACGACCTTAGCAACGCCATATTGTATGAAGTTATCTAACTTGCTGATTTGATGTTTTCTCGCCTCACAGCTACAGCGAGCAGTATCATATCCTGGATCTGGAGCAGCCTTATTGGGTCCCTCTCGTCTAGCCGACCTAGTCGAACCGTCTTCGTATCCTGCCCCAAGCCCAAACGTTTCATCGACCGCTGTTAGTGTAGCTGCTGCACTCGATACACGTTCCTGTTCTCCTGGTATTGACTCTAACATTTCTCGGCGCTCGGCCACTCCGAATGGGCATGGACGGTCATCAGTATGTGCGGCTACTGCTGGTCAACTTCCAGAACTGTCGGTTAGTGACATCGAAACCCAACTGGGACCCACTCTCGGTTTTGAACTGAACGATGTTTTCAAAGGTTTAACCCAGAATGACGGTACCAATGCGTCGACTTCTGAGGGAAGTCCGAAGGAGATCAGCATCGTTCCACCATTCGGCACAGATATCGTCACCTCACCCCCGGATATGATCGGTCAACGACTAATGCAACAGCAGCATCCCCAACCCACTGCACAGCCACCTCCAACCGCATCGCGGTATGGTGCGTCCAAACCAGCTAGCCACATACTTTCTACCACTCCCGAACAACAAGCTCGAATAGTGCATTCTCAACCTCGCCTTTTAGACCAATCCGCCCAGGAGGTAGATCCGATGACAAGTAATCTTAATGCTCAGACTCCGCCATTGCAGAGAACTTCACCTGCTGTTAGCTCACAAACACAGCTACAGACACAACAGCCACAACAAATGCAAATGCAACAACAGCAGCAACAGACGGTACAACAGCAACAACAGCATTTGAATCATCAGCAGCTCACACAACAACAGTACGACATCCAAGGTAGGTTTCCAAAAGTTGAGGGTAAAACGCATGCACCATTTCCGGCTGTTCACAACATAGTAAACTACGTTATGGATGAAGTAATTTGAGCAGCTATAATGGTGAAGCTGTTGACCGTTATCATAAGTGCGCCTCAAGGTTCTGTGTCATATTCCCGCTACATTCACCGTAATTTGGTTGACACTTTTGGTATATTTACTTCCTTTCCAAATATATATATTAACCGCTATGCTGTCGCCTCTCGGGGCCTAGCTTACTAGCTTGCCATTTAGATGACCTAGGGGAGGGGCCGTCCTCCGTTAACTTACAAAAGTGTTCATTAGGAAAGTCTCGATCCGCAATGGATAAAAACATGGATACTTCAGTAGTTGAAACGGTATTTTTGGGTAGGCTGACATGTTGAGATGAGGTGTCTAGGAGAAGGAAGTATAAAGAAGGAAACAGAAGGTATCGGCTTGTAGATTAAAGGAATGATTAAGGGGGTAGGCACTTGCTATTCTTGTTAGTGAAACTAATTTAAGGTACATTTCCAATTTGTTTGACCAGGTGCTCGTGTACAGATTCGTGGCTCACAACCGTCCTATCTGTACGCACATGTGGTTTCCGCCCCCGGTCGCGTCATACCTCAGTCTGCGAAACCTCGACCCGCTCAACCTCGTATGGTCAGTTCACCAGGTCTTCCAGTCCATTCGGTATCCGGCTCTGGTCAACAACCAGTGCAAATGTTTGTTGGTGGTAATCATCCTCCCAGTGGATATATGGCTCAAGCTTTACAGTCCAAGTCCCCACAGGAGCGTACCCCTCCACCACCACCGCCCTATCCCTCACAAGGTTTGAGACCGGCTTCTGCAATGTGGCAACAGCAACAACATCAACATACTCAACAAACCCGTGTATACACTCAAGCCGCGACAGCTCAAGGTGGAACTATCGTTATTTCTGCTCCCAGTCAGAATCTGACTCATCAATCGCCCAATACGAACCAGATATTTATGTCACCACCATCGACTCCATTGGCTTTTCAAACTGCATCCCATGTGGTTCCAGTAACCGGTACTCCTCACGGTGCAGGTCAGGCGGAACAAATTCAACGGGTCTCAGCGCAACCGAATCCTCATGCACGTCCTGCCACTGCAGCGGGTACCCACCACGTAGTGATGCATGGTCAGCCTGGTTTATCGCCACACCCAGGTCACCTGCAGCATCCAGGTGTTGGTGATCAATCTGTTGGTCATCCTACTCGACCCATGTCATTTGCTGGTGTGACTCAAGTACCTCAAGGTCATCCGGCTAATCAACAGATGTCTCCCGGCGTGCTTCGGTTTACCACGGGAACAGACGAAGTGACACTCCGAGGCTCTAGCGATACTCATTTAGTATCAATGCTTAATCCAGGTGAGTTAATCAATTCACTCGCTGCGTTTTCATCCGGGTTTCTCGAGTAACTTCACAAACATAAGCTATGTTTACTGACCATGCTTTCTCGATATTTAAATCCAATCCAAAAGAAGTCTCATTGAAGATTTCCATTGCAACATTTGAGAAAACACGAAATAGCGAACGAGCTCGTTTTTGATAACTTCGTCATCTGGTTATTACGGTTATATAAATAGGTAGTAGGCATATCACATGGGATTGGATTGATGGATATAATTAGTCGATTGTGTGTGGTTTACAAAAAGACTGC